AAAGTTTTCCTGCATTGCCCAGATCTGTGTGACCTTGCCCAGATCCAAGAGTGATGGGTATCTGCTGGCAGGCTGCAGTACCCTGGGGGTGGCAGGTCATCCTGGGGGTGGCAGGTCCCTGTGGGGATGGCAGGTCCCCGTGGAAGAGCAGCACCCCTGCAGGGGCTCAGCCACCCAGAGAAGGACAAAAGGGGCCAGGTTTTCTCCTGCTCTCAGTTTAGACTCATTTTTGGGGTTTGGCCCCATCCCAAAAGTTAAATTCTGCAGAGAAAATAAAGCAGCACTCCCAGAATAGCCTCCACGCCTCTCCCTTCCTGCTTTCAGCCAGCCTGGCCCCAGAAATGTCACTGTGGGCACGGCTGTGGCTCCCCACAGCCTGTCCGTGGGTGCCTGGCAGCAGGGACTGCAGCCACAGCCCAGACAGCAGCCACAGCTCAGCCTGCCTCCTGCCAGGGACACTGGGTGGCTGCCAAGGCAGGGCCTGGCCAGCCTGGGGACACGGGGACATGGGGACAGGGACAGGACAGCTGGGCTGGGGACACGGGAATGGCAAATCCTCCTGCCATGGCCAGGGAATGGACTGGGATGGCTGAGCCAGGCACACCTGGGCTGGCCCCACAGCAGGGATGTGCCCTCCAGGCAGGGCAGGGAGGGCAGGGAGGGCAGGACCAACCTGCTCCACCAAGCAGGGTGAGGGAAACACCCCGGGATGCTCCTGGGGACCGAGCAGAGCTCCCAGTGCCAGGAGGAAGGTCTGAGGCCAAACCCAGCTCACTGAGCCCTGTGGGCTCGCTCACAGGGCTGAGGCAGCAGTTTGGGTGTCCTCACGCTGTGCCCCCACAATGTCCCCACACTGTGTCGCCACTCTGTGTGTACCCCAGGGCAGTTTGGATGTCCCCATGCTGTGTCCCCACTCTGTGTCCCTGCTCTGTGTCCCCACAGCTACTCTGGGGTCCCTTGGGTGCTGTGGACTGCCCTGGGTGCTCAGGTCCCCTTTGTGCCACAATCTCCCAGCTCACCCAGAGCTCACCCTCCTGTCCCTCTCCAGAGCCCCAGGGCTGCCCCTGTCCCCTCTGCCCCTCTCCAGAGGGCACAGTGGCACAGGGAGGGGCACAGGGGACACCCCAAGGTGGCCAGGCCTGGAGCACCAGCCAGACACGAGGCCAAGCTCTGCCCATCACATTTCATCCCCCACCACCAACCCCAGTGCCCACAGCCCTCAGATGGGCAGAGGGACCCCCAGTTCCCCTTCTTGCACACCAGGAGCTGTCACTGGGGCCCTGGGGACACCGTGGGCCTGGGTTTGTGCCCACCAGCAGCAAGAAGGGCTCAGCTCTGCCCTGCTCAGCGCGGGACACAAACCCACCAAGGCACAGAGAACTGGGGCTGCCCCAGCCCTGGCAGTGTCCCCAGCCCTGAACAGGGCCTGGAGCAGCCTGAGCTGGTGGCAGGTGTCCCTGCCATGGCAGGGGTGGCATTGCATCTTCAGGGTCCCTTCCAGTCCAAACCACTCTGGGGTTCTGGGGCTCTGTAAAATGCCACGAGGTCTCAGGCAGAGGGACAAGGAGGGCAGGACAGGACAGATAGACACAAGTCCTGTCCATGTCCCAGGGGAGGGGAATGTCCTTATCTCAGGCTGGATGAGTGTCACAGGGCACAGGGGACAGGAGCTGCTGCCATCTGCATCCAAACTGACCCAGAGCAGGAGCCCAAAGAAGGTGATCAAGGAGGGAGGCAAAAGGAACCAAAGTGACCCAGAGAAGGAACCCAAAGGAGGTGACCAAGGAGGCAACAGGAGCATTCCAGCCCAAATGGAGCCACACAGGGCTGTCCCTTCCCCTGCTGGCCACAACCCTGCCAGCCCAGGCGGGTCCCTGGCAGTGTCCCATGCCCCCTGCCCATTCCCAGCCCAGGCGGGTCCCTGGCAGGGTGTCCCATGCCCCCTCCCCATTCCCAGCCCCACACTCACTGGTTCCTCTCCAGCACCAGCACCAGCTCTCTGCCCTCAGCTGTCACAGCCACCTCTGCCCGGGCAGGAGCCACCACCTGCAAGGAAAGGAGGGATGAGCTCAGACAAGGTCCCTGTGCCCAGAACCTTCCTCTGCTCCAGCTGCAGGTGCATCCCAGCCTCTCCATCCTGGGGAAGGGGATCTCCCTGAACTCCCAGCCAGCAGGGATAATGGGGGAGTCACAGGATGATAATGGGGGATTCACAGCAGGGATAACGAGATTCACAGGATGGTAACAGGGGAGTCACAGGAAGATAACAGAGGATTTACAGGAGTATCAGGGGTGAGGCAGCAGACCCCAGCTCTGCTGGCAGCTCCCCCAGGGAAAGGCAGAACAGGATGGCCCCAGGATGAGGAGCAGCAGGAGCACCCTGAGCAGGGTCTCTGTGTGCTCCATCCCAGCTCGGTTCTGCCCCACTGCAGTGGCTGATCCAGGGAAGGACCCTCAGCCCTGGGAGGGATAATGTACCCTGTGGGGATGGAAATCACCACCAAGGCCCCCCTGGGCACTGGATGAGGGCCGTTAAAAATACCTCAGAGCAGCAGCACAGAAAGGAAACAGTGACTCAGCTTCCCCAGGATGCCGGTGCCTTTACTCATTCTTTACTCATTCCCTCTCTTCGGAGGGTGTTGGACGGGAACCTGGCTCTGGAGCCAGCCCAGCTGTGTGTGACAGGAGGGGCCCAGAGCCCACAGTGCTGCCCTTCCCTGTGTCCCCACACTGTCCCCAGCTCTGAGGACACTGAAAGCATGGCCCTGCCTGCTGTCCATGGCCTGGACTGTCCCTGGGCTCTGAGGTCCCCCTCAGTCTGTCCCCGTCCATGGAGTACACAGGGAGCCCAGTGGGCTGCCAGCCCACAGGACCCCATCACTGCCATGGCCGTGGGCCTGGCCAGCTCTTCCTGGCTCTGGAAGGAAAGGGGACAGAGGAAGGAGCTGTCCCTGGCCCTGGAAGGAAAGGGGACAGAGGAAGCAGCTGTTCCTGGCTCTGGAAGGAAAGGGGACAGAAGAAGGGGCTGTCCCCACAAGGCCCCAGCTCTAGCTGCCCTTGGCATCCCATCCCTGCAGCTGGAACACAGGAACGCAGCAGGGAGGGGCAGAGCTGGGTGATTCACGCCGCGGGATGAAGCAGAGGTTAAGTCCTGATTCCCCAATTCCTGTGGAGTTGGCTGTGCTGCTGCTCCTCCAGCCCTGGCCCCCTGCCCTGGCTATGGGGGACACCAGGGGAGCCCCAGTGGAGCCTGCCCTGAGC